GTAGGCTTATGAGTATTATCCTATCACTGACAGCATTGTACTTCAGGATACATCTTGATACCTTTGAATTATAGTTTTGGCCTGGCTGTGCATGGGAAAACTGGCCTGTGAGTGGGAACACTGGTGTGTGCATGGAAACACCTGGTTGTGTGCAGGAAGACCTGGTGTGTGTGCAGGAACACCTGGACTTCTTTGTGCAAGATTTCTGCAGGCAAAGCTGAGATCCCTTGAGGGAGGCCAGAGAAGGCTGGTCTGCAGCTGTGCACTAATGTGCACTCTCTTTAAGGATCAGGGTAGACCTGGTGAACAAGAGCCGTGTGTGTGTCCAGCACAGCTGCAGCTGCTGCACCGTCTCCGGCTGCTTCTTTCACTCACATCGTCCTGGGCCACAGGAGGCCGTGGTTCCTTCTTTCTGATCATCGCCCAGAAGGAAAGGCTGTGCATCAGTTTTGCAAACTGAACGTCATCGTTTGCAGACATGTAGTTAGCACACTGACGTAGCTTCCAGCTCCCTGTGCCTCCCGCTATGTCTGTTTCTCTTGGCACCATTACAGGGAAATGGCCTGAGTCCATTAGGCCTGGCTTGGGACTTTTTGGTAATGGCTGTGGGAAATGTTTGGTTACACGTGTTTTAAAATATTTCAGGCTGATGGTACTAGTGCAAGTGGTTAACACGCTCCATCTCCATTGGAGGCTCATATCCGCCCAGCGTTACTTTGGGAGAAAGGCCTGGTGGTCTGCTTCTTAAATAGCCATTGAAAACTCTGTGGAGGTGCAGTGGCTAAGGTGGCATCAGGTCGGCCGGGCCCGGTTGGACGGCCAGGCGGCTGGGGGTAGTGTCCCCATGGTGAGACTGGTGGTCAGCTCCGTGGTGGAATCTCTGCGAGCAGCCGAGTGGCTGTGTTAGGGATAGGGGCCGCTTCCAGTGTAGAGGAAGCAGCCTGGAGGAAGGCGTCCAGCTTTTGGCACGCTTGAATCCCGCACGCAGCCGAGTCATTATTCAGCAGCCTGCCATGATGTCTGCTGATCTTGAGACTATCTCTGGACTTGAATCAGTGGCCTGCCATGTGGTTTGGTAATGTTGGGACTGTGGCATTTTATTTGTCGACCTTGGGCTTGGTAGCCTCAGCAGCCAGTTAGCTGCCTGAGTGAAGAGATGCCTCTAGCTTCAGTGGGTTGGGAGCAAGAGGCAGAGCTAAAGCCCAATGTCAAGGGGCTTTCACCCAGGCTGGCACTTTGAACTTTGACTTCTCTCTTCCAGAACTGTAAAAGAATAATTTCCTGTTTGTTCGAGCCACCCATTTGTGGTCTGTTCCTGTCAGAGCGGCACTAGAGGTAACCAAACCAGGTGGCCAGTTCTGCTCTGACACTTGGGGTCATGGTGAATGGAGCCAACCTGATGGCAATGGAGGTTTTTGGACTCTTAAAAAGCTGTCCAGAAATTCTAGCTGGATTCAGAATGGGATGTAGAAGGAGGGATATCATTACTGAGGTCAGATAGATCTTGGCTGAAAGCAAGGAGTACCACAAAGATGTTTCTGTCTGTTTTATTGGTTGTGAAGGCATTTGACTGTGTAGATTATATGAAATGACAGATAATCTTGGGAAGAGTAAGAACTCAAGAACACTTAATTGTTCTCACAAGGAACCTGTACCTAGACTAGGAGCTGCCATTTGAACAGAACAAGAGGCTGCCGCCTGGCTTACAATCAGGAAGGGTAGCATGAGGGTTGTACCCCCTGGTCTGGCCGCAGACACGTACTAAGCATCTTCCCGTGAAGCAGACACTGGAGGGGTCATGGGGCTTCATGTAGTCCTGGAGCTTATGGACTTGGAACTGGAGGAGGCAGCGCATGGTGTCATCCTTACTCTGTGTCTTTGGGTCTGATTCTGTTTGGGCAAAGAGGTCTCTTTGTTGTGTTAATGAGGTCCTATCAGTGTTGGGTGTGTCTTAAATCCATCCCTCTGGGGATAGACAGGAGCAGTTCAGGCAGAAAGATGCAAGCCTGAGCTGAGGAAGACGGACGAGGAGTGAGGGTGCCAAGGCGAGAGCCCCTGAGCTGAGGGTTGTCCCCCGAGCAGCCCAGAGCCTTCCGGAGACAGCTCCCTGGATTGGACCTCTGGCTGCCTGAGCTGGGGGAGCAAGCCCCGCGTGATATTTAACACAGCTGGACTGGATAACCTGGACGGGGAGCACAGCGCAAAACGCGAGAAGGACAGCTTTTCAGGACTTAACCCCAAAGAGGGAGAACTGGAAGCTGTCACCGTGCAGTGTGACCACCAGCTGTGTAAGCAGACAGGAAGAGAGCCACGGAGCACTGTCTGGGTAGCTCCTTGTGGGGGTTCCGGGAGGGAGGAGATAGTGAGGGAGGCGCTGGTTCTCAGGGCCGGGCTGCAGCAGCGCTGTCAGTCTGAGCATTTTGTGGAGAGAGTGCCGCGGGCATGCGCGCCTGCGCTGCGGTCCCATGGTATCATCGTTGGAGGCTGGCTCCATGCTGTGGGACCTCTTCCTAGTTACGTAACCACGTAACCTCCTGAGCTTCCATTTGCTCGTCAGAAAGAGGACACACCCCAGCTGTGTACAGCAGCTGTGATTTAGGGACAGCCATGTCTCATCCTTGCTTCACACACCTTCACACAGGAAAACGTGGCAAGTTAGGTATCAGCTACAGTTAGACAGTGTGGTCAGAGTTGTTTTTAGGGAGCCAGCCTACCCAGGGAGATGATAAATGGGAGTGTGGGTAGGAAGTCTGAGTCCTGCCACTTGCTGCCCAACTCAGGGCTTTATGGACATCTCTAAGAGTGGGCCCTGATCAAGAGGACGAAGCCCTCAGCGAGGCAGACTGTCCCACATTGTTCTAAACACAGGCTCCTGGCAGGAAGCGGGAGCTCCGTGGTTTTGCATACACACAGGTGGTACTCTGAGATTCTGCCACCAGACTAAACACTGGCCGATACTGAATTACCATCAGTATGGAAAGTTCCCTGCAAGCAGATGTGTGGCATTTCAATTACACAAAGTGTTGCAGAACCAGGCCCCAGGAGGATCTGTTGTCCCCAGGCCCTGCATTGAGTCCTGGGCACAGCACTGAAGAGCTGTCAGTCACTTGCAATCTCACCAGCCTCTTTGAAGAGCACCTGCCTTTGCCTCAGTCTCTAAACATTATTCTGACGTGAGTTTATTGTGGTTTATAACATATGTGTTTGGCTTGAAGGATGCATGTCTTTCAGATGCCGGGCTGAGGTGCTCTTTGAGAGAGCAGCTTGGTGGCATAGGACATACCTTTGAGGACATTAAGTGAAGCCCTGGAATCCAGTGCAGGGCTTTGAATAAGTCAGTGTTGAAGGAGAATAAACAGTCTCCCATATAAGCACTGTCAAAGATTTTGTTCTACTCGGATCCACAATTAATGACATGGAAGCAGGAGTCAAGAAATGAAACGGTATGTTGCATCGGGTAAATCTGCTGGAAAAGATCTCTGTAAAGTGTTGACAACCAGAGACACTCCTTTGAGCACTAAGATACACCTGATGCAAACCCCAGTCTTGTTACACCCTCAGAGCTCTGGTGGCAATGTGGGTGAGGCATTTGGCTGCTAATGGGGTGGCCAGCAGTTCAAACCTACCAGGCTGCTCCAGGGGAGGAAGATGAGGCAATCTACTTCCATAACGATTTAAGGTCTCAGAAAGCCAGTGGGGTCACTCGGAATCAGAATCAACTTGATGGCAGTGGGTTTGGTGGTTTTGGGATGCATATGAAAAGGCTAATAGTGAGTAAGGAAGACTGAAGAAGAATTGATGCATTGAAACTGTGACGTTTGTGAGGACGGTAGAGTATACCATGGACTGCCAGCAGAACAGACAGATCTGTCTTAGAAGAAATGCAGCCCGCTGCTCCTGAGAGGCAGGGTGGTGAGGCTTCGGCTTGCTTGTTTGGCCACATCACCAGGATGGGCCAGTGTCTAGGAAAGGCCACCATGTTTGGTTAGGCCAGTGGTCAGTGAAAACTAGGGAAACTCTCAGTGGGATGGGTTGACACAGTGGCCTCTACAGTGTAGCTGAGCACACCAGTGGTCGTGAAGGTGGAGCAGGACCAGGACCAGGCAGCATTTGGGTCTGTTGTCATGAAGCTGGAGCAGGGCAAGGCAGTGTTTGGTTCTGTTGTCCATAGGTCACCATGAGTCAGGACTGGCTCATCCACCACCAACAGCAGCAGTCGTGGTGTTGGTATGGTGTCCTGTGAGAGCCGTGCAAACCCTTGTGTTGTGTGTGTGGTAGTGGGTAGAGACACCTCGCAGTGTGTTGTGCTCTGGGCAGACAGCGCCTTCTGTGGTTTGTGTGTGTGGTAGCGGGTAGAGACACCTCACAGTGTGTTGCACTCTGGGCAGACGGCGCCTTCTGGGGCTCGTGTGTGTGATAGTGGTGGAGACACCTCGCAGTGTGTTGCACTCTGGGCAGACGGCGCCTTCTGGGGCTTGTTGGTCCTGAGCCCGGCACCCAGGTCTCCCTCCAGCATTGTCATCTTGGACACTTTGGCTTTAATCAGTGCTCTGTGTTACAGACTAACACCTGTCTTTATGCTTCTCATCCAAGTCCGTCTGTCCACAGGTGGTTTTGACAGGCATAAATCAAAAAAAAAAAAAAAAAACTCAAGGGAACATCCTGGTTTAGGGTACAGTGTGTTGGGTAGACTCCTGGGACCTTCACTTCAAACCGTCAGGGGGTGTGGATAATGTAATGTGAACATGTTTCTTGTTAACTTAGGTTCTCCTAACTCAGCAGCGGTTTGTCTAACTCTGAATGACGGCTGTGGGAATGAGAAGGCTGTTGTGTCTGGCTGAACAGCAGGCAGTGCCCCAATGCAAAGGTTTCTGCCTTACAAAGCCTCTCCCTGTGGGGGCTTTCAGTAGAGTAGGTATTCCCATACTTCAAGTGCAGTCGCACCATGTTTCAGGGGAGTCACTTAGCAGCTTGGGAATAATACAGACTCGGACCCTGTTGCCCAGAAGCTCTACAGGAAGAACAGAGCAATCCTTCTGCCCTCTATTTCTCAGGCATGAGTTTTCAGTGAAGACATAAGTATGTTGTCCTTAGTTGTCATCAAGTCAGTTCTGATTTCTGTGACCCCGTGTACAGCAGAATGAAACACCGCCCAGCCCTTGTTGAGGGGCTTCCCACTTTTCACTGACCCTCTAGCAAGGATGAAGTCCTTCTCCAGGGACTGGTCCCTTCTGATAACACATCCAAAGTACATGAGATAAAGTCTGGCCATGCTTGTTTCTAAGGAGCATTCCAGCTGCACTTGTTCCATGATAGATTTGCACATTCTTCTGGCCATCTGTGGTAAGAACATGTTAGCATATGTTATGGTAGAACATGTAAGCATATGTTATGTAACAGGTTGCAATCAGCCCTTTTCAAACTGTTTGCTTTCTGTTCCCTGAGAAGATGCTTGTAGCTGTGGAGGCTGTTACTGAAATCATCAGTGTACCAAGCCAGTCACAGGTTTAATAATCATGTGTTTGGAGAGGTTTATGTATCCATGTATGCAGCAAATGAGTTGAAGTCCATGAAACGCTGTGGGTAATTCAGCACAGAGAGATTGCACATGAGGGATTCTATGCTTAGAAGTTCTTGGAAGGAATGACAAGCAGTTGAGTCACCAATGTTAGCTGCCATCGAGTCAAGGGAGTGGATGAAGAGCCAGTGTTTTCAGAGTAGGTAGAATGGCTCTAGAGGGAGTGGGAGTTCAAGGCAGTGACTTTGGAAAGCAGATCCCCAGGTCTTGTCTGCCAACGCACATCTGGGTAGGTTCGAACCAGTGACCTCTCAGCTCATAGTCAAGCACTTAACTGTTGTACCACCCTTGCATCCAAGGGCCCAGGTCTGTGGCTATGATCCAGACTCAGGGAGCACTGATCCTGCTCACCCGCGTAGAGCAGTGAGAGCCGGGACACTGCTTGGTGGGCAGGAGGGGCGTGTGCTGGCGACAGAGGCAGAGGCCCCACCTTCCCTGGGCATCCACCTGCAAGCCCACCTCACACCACCTTGTGCACGGGGGTGCAGGGACGTGGTTTTCACTCCTGCAGTCTCTCCCACAGGGACGGTCAGTGACATCATCAAGGATGGAGACGCACATGGGAACCATACCTAGAACGTGAGCGAGAATCACCAGGTGTGCGAGCGGAAAATCCTGGGAATGGTCTGTATCGAAGCTACAGGGCTGTGGGTAATGGAATGAATGAAATAGTCGGAGTCCTGGATTCTCACCACCTTATCATGGCATCAGCAGCAGGCCAGGGACCTCATGGAGTCGAGTCACACAGGGACTGGTAGCACCTAAGGCTGCAATGCCTGAAGGGATGAGCATCTGCCATCTCAGGGTGCTTTCTCTTTGTAGTGGTTCTCAGAGGTCTTCTATCGTAGACAGTACACGGCCAAGCTGGGGATTGTTTGACAGACAGTTTCCGTCCTTGCGAGCAATGCTGTTGCCTGGCTTTGCCACTCTGAGAACCTTCCAAAGCGCCAAGAAGTCCAATTAAATTCCCAAATTTAACTTAATTTGTGTTACCACCGCAGCCACCATCTTTTAAAAACAGCTTCTTCCAAACAAAATCGTGCCAAGCCAGTCTCTCTATGCAGTGCATACCAAGGGGCCACACTGTGCCCCTTCTGTGGGTTTAGGCAGGACGAAGAGATTCAAGGGGCTGCTGGGGTTCTGCAGGGGGTGCCTGGTTGAGCAATGACTGGAAGCCCCCAGTGACCTGCCCAGCCAGAGAGGGGCTTCTCCAACCACGCTCATAGCCACTCTTGCCTGGCCACATTGCAACCTGACACACGCTTGACACCCTTCTATTGACTGGCTATGTGGATAACCATGGTGCCACAGACTTCAGTCCCAAGAGAAATACTGCTACCTCAAGGGGCATTATTAGCGACATCAGGATACAAACAGAATGCACAGACAGAGCTCTTCTGACCGTCGACATCCACTGCTGAGAGCCTCCTTGTCACCCCAGGTGGAACTCAAGAAATGGTGTTTTGTTGGGGCCTTCACCTACAAAGAATGATTGCCTTGAGTGAGACATTAACTCAATGTGGCTTATTGATATCTCTGTGCTGGAAGTATTCAAACAGCTGGCCTTCACTTGTACCGTTAACTCTGCACTCTTTCCTGAGGGAGGTGGAAGCTTAGAAGAAGGGGCAGGAAGTCCATCCACAGTGGAGAGCCATGGGTGGGTGCAGCGCAGAGGCCAAAGTTCTGAAGAATACTTTCGAACAAGGACATGTGGACTGTCAGAGTGTAGTGTCTAACAGAGGAAAACAGACATAGGTTCTCAGAGCTCATCAGCTGGTGATAAAAAGGCCTGGTGGGTTTCTCTTCAGGGAAAGTTAGAGTTGGTATTTGGTTGGTGTCTGGGCCTCATTCATCAACCTCCTCAAAATCCAGCCATAAAGTTAATTCCAACCCTTAACAACCCTACAGAACCCAGTAGAACTGCCTCCTAGGGTGTCCAAAGCTGAGAGTCTTTATGGTAACAGACTGCCTCCTCTTTCTCCCGTGGAGCGGCTGGTGGGTTCCAACCACTGACCTTCTGGTTAGCAGATGAGTGCTTTAACTACTGCACCACCAGAGTGCCTTCTTGTCAGTCTAGTCTCCTCAAAATGACTGGGAAGAGGCTATGTAGACTGAGGGGGGGGGGAATCAGATGTGCTTGGAAAATGTGTAGGGTCTGGGTGGACTTTGGGGTCTCTAATGAGAGCAGCTAGGAGGTGTGAAGTTCTGTTTTCTTGCAAATTTCTCTCTCTCTGATGTAAACAAAGTAAGTCGAAAACCAATGACAGAAAACCAGAAGAACTGTGAGAGTATATCAAGAACATTATCCATGAAGAAAGCAATAGATCACTAAAAAGACAAGAAAGGAAGAGAAGACCAAAATGGATGACAGAAGAGACTCTGAAACTTGCCCTTGAGTGGAGAGAAGCTAAAGCCAATGGAAGAAATGACA